AGTGTTAAATTTTTTGAGTATTAATTAAAAGAAATAATAAATTTAATTTAAATTCATTTTTCATTAAATATTATTAAAAGGAAAAGGTTTCAGGTACAATAAATACTATATTTTTATCTTTTTTAATAATATGGAATATGCAAAAGAAAACTTTTAGTTAAAAATAAAATGAATTCTTTAGATTATCTTTGAGTGAACTAAAATAAAAATAAAAGTTTTCATTAAAATAAATTAAATTCATTAACTTTGCACATTTCAGTCTATTATTTTCAAAAAAAAAAAATAATAATAATAACTAATGTTTAAAATTTGAGATTTGGATAAGAATAAAATAAATAAGTATTTCAAGCAGTTATTAAATATTCTTAATTTTTGCCTATGGTTTGGCTTGTTGATTGATAATAGAAATTTATCAAATAATTATATTAATAGTGTAATTAAAAAGTCAAGAATAATTGAAAATGAGCAATAATAACAAAATAATGATGTAATTAAAACTAATGAATTAATTGGCATTTTTTTTAAGTAATTAATTCTTAATCATTAAAAAGGTGGTAATATCGGTATTTGATCATTAAACGGTTATCCAAAAAAACATGCCTTAATTAATAATCATTATGAGTATTAATCATTATTTAACCGGACTAGTATAACTGAATACGTATTCGATTTAATGGTTTACAATATACCCAAATAAAAGTTATAATATTTTGTGTACTTTAGTGTATTAAACTGTCGAAGTTAACCAAAACAGGGCCTGAATAAATCGTTTTGTACTTGGTAAAAGTCTGGTCATTTTCGAACTAGTTTGGTTTCAGTCAGGGAATTCTAGTTGTAAACTAGTATTTTTCCTGACTAGTTTGGGATTTCACTGCAGGGTAACGATAGGTATATAAGGAAATCGATGAGTTATATTACTATCATTATAAAAATGGCGCTTCCAACGGACGCAAGGAATGTCAGGCATACACTGGCGAAAATATAAATATGGAAGTGATATTTTAGCACACTTTGTCTATTCCCCTTTCGTTTAATGTTTGTTATTTTTTTATGAAAGTGTAGGTCGTTATCAAACAAAACCCATGAAAGGCGAAATTGCAAACTTTTTTGTTTAGAAATTAGGAAAATTCAACAAAGCTTCATCAAAATGTTGAGCTTTTTAATTCGATTTTTCAGAAACACTCTGAGAATGCAACTTTGTAGCCCATTAAATTATTGGTATAATAAAGTGCGAGCTTGAAGTAGCTAGGACTTACCATTGGTTTGTGGCAATTTTTTTTTTGTGGAAGGCGTTGCTCATTTTCTCCATACGAAAAATTGTCCAGCGTAAATACCTTGAACGGAAGAAAATGCGTGAACAAAAAATTGCCAAAAATTAACGGTAAGGCCCAGCATTTTCAAACTTGCACTTTATTATGCTAAGATTCAAAGGCTATAAAACTTCATACAAAAACAAAAAAAAAATCTAAACGATGTTATACAAATTTTCTAATTATAATGCACATTTGTTAAAATTCGTCGAATTTGTATAAATGCTGTAGTTATAAAGTTTGATTTAACTGTAGGTTTTTGTTTTTTTTTTAGATAATTAAGCTATATTTTTATTAAAAAACTGAAAAAATTTTAAACAAAGAAAAATAGCTAAAACTTACTAAAATGCCTCTTCCCTATTTATATTACCGCCACCATATAACGCTTGTTCTGGTAAAATTTGTGAGTATTAACCAAAAAAAGTGACCAGAGAGTTTAGCGCAGAACGGGAATTTACCCTTTGGTCTCTAAACGAAGCGATTCAAAAATTAATTAAGATAACGGAGTGGGACCCCTACAAGAAAGCTGGGAAAAAATCGAGTACTCTCAATGTTGTCATCAGAAAGTTCTCAGTACTAATAGTCAAACTACTCAAAAACAAAAGTGTAAATGTGTTAGAATTTTTGCATAAATTGCTCAGCAATGTCTTGTAGGGACGTTTGCAGAAATCTCTCAAAAGAAAAAACTCCAACTTTTTGTAAAGACATTAAATGAAACAAACAGCAAAGGTACAGAAGATTTAATTTGTGGGGTGGTATGCAAAATCTATCTTATCTCTGTTACCTATATATATCTTCCTTCTGTTACCACTTCTACCTCTGTTGATGATGACAATCAATGCTGGTGATTAGGGCATATTGGTGAAACCACCACTTTCGCTTTTTCCTTGAATCAAAAATGTTAATAATGAATACAAAGGTGTCAGGTAACAAGATCAACGGAAATAAGGTCAACTGACTTTATTTCCCACCTTTTCAAAAGCGAAATAAAGTCAACATAAATTTGGAAAAAAAGTCATTGACGCTATTTCCTTATTCAAATGGAAATAGCGTCAACAATGATTAAAGTATGTCGATTCATGGAAAAAAATGTTGTTCTTACAAAAAACATTACCACGTAAGTGTTGTTTTTTAATAGATGAAAAAGGTTATTGCCAAATCCTCTGTGTGGTGCTATTAATCCACACACAATCATGAACTACAAAAAAAATTGATTTTATTAAAAAATTTAAAATTACGAATATAGAAAAAACACGATGCGAAAAACCAAACGCAAAACGCAGCTGGAATACGAGAAATATTTGAAGAAAGAGTGTAGAAAATGATCCAGAACTTGCAAAAAAATGTATCTTTTCCGCAAAAATAAAGCAAACACTATTAAATTCAAGAAACAGTCCGTGGCAGCGGCGCTGCGTGACGTGTTGTGGCGCGAGTTAACGACGTTAGTATATACATTAATTATTAGGTCCATTCCTTATCTTTTCGGACTAAAATCTGAAAAATGTCAAAATGCAAGAGCGTAAGCAAAATGCGCTCACTAAAACAGAATAACAGGAAAAGGTAAAAGAACGCAAAAAAAAACACAAAGTTTTAGTCCAAAGAATGGCAAGAACAAAACTAACGTCAAATAAGAATAGAAATGTATGTACAAAACATATTAACACAAGCACAAGCAGAATAAACACTTACTATATCAATTAATTTTTGCCTCCTTCCACTATCAATTCACCTTTTTTACTTTTTAGATTATTCTCACTTTTTGTGTATTCATTAATTTCCGTTAATTTAAATTCAGTTGAGTTTGACACTTTTCTAGATTTTGCCAGCAAAAATTCTTCTGACTAAATCTGACTACTTTGGACTGAAGAGAGTCACTCTCACTGAGTGTTGCTCTCTCATTTTTGCTGTCATTTTTGAGTTAAGGAACGCTTTTTGGACTAAATCTGACTACTTCGGACTTTTGCTGACTATTTCTGGGAGATAAGGAACGCAACTATTTTTTCCAAAGACAAATATCGATAAACAACAGCATACGAAATGCAAATATATTCTTTCTTCCCCCACATAAGTAACAATAACAACAAGATAACATAATACAAACATACACGATTCATTGTTCCCTTACGAAACGTGTAAACACAGTTAACGACGCTAGTATATACATACACTACACACATACATTAATACAAAAATACTCTTTGTTCCTTCACATAAGTAACAATAGCAACATGATAACATTGTACAAAACCTATAAACACTTTTCAAAAACAATCTTAATCAACAAACAAATTTATCATCAACTAGTAAAAATAGTATAAATAGATGTAAGCATCAAAATGTAAATTCAATTCTAAAATATCCGGAATTCAATAAAGGAGCTCTTGCTCAAAAAAATATATATATTTTTTTTTATTTTCTCTACGCGGAGCTTTAATTCGCGCGGACGCGGGCCGCCGCGAAGCTAAGCAAATTTAATGTTTGAGAGAGCAATAATGTCAATGGATTTTATTTCGTTTTTGAAAAGGTAATAGTGTCAATTGACTTTATTTCGCACCAGGGTGGAAAATAAAGACAATTTACCTTATTTCCGTTGATCTTATTACCTGTCACCGAATACAAATAGTTGCGATCGTAACAATTTGCTTTGAATTATTGATATGTTCGTAGAAATTCGGACTCAGTCAACTCCTTTTCAATTATTTCAGGGACCAATTTCAGCTAAAAGGATCGTCGAACATTTTATTTTCCAACCTCAGTATCGATTTGAGCAAGCATGCAGTAGGTATCAAAGCGGACTTACTTAAGTGAATTCTAATCCAGAAAAATGGTCATAACTGAGGTCATGAGGGCAGAAGTGGCCTAACCCGTAATTTTGTTTTTTGTAGCTAACTTCTTCAAATAGTTTCAAAAGTAATAAATTTATAAATAAAGGCCACTTATTAAAATTAAGGAATAATTGACTTTTAATTTAAAATATATCACTTTTAATTAGGTAAATACAAACAAAAAAATAAAAAATTGGGCTAGGCTACTTCTTGCTCTCATGGCCTACACCATATACATATATCTCTAAGTTCTTCTGTGGCACAAGAATGCTAAACGAAACAGTAAATCAACCAGGTAGAAAATTTAAGGAGTTAAACGCCCTTCTGAGAGTCAAGAGGCCCTACACTCTACATTCCTATCTACTTTATTTTTTGTATGGAGTGGCACAAACTGAAGTGCTTATTCTTTCGCTACCCATGGAAGGCCTTCCAGAATGGGTTTTATAGGACGTACTTCAGACGACCTTTTGGAGAAGTTCTTTTAAAGTTGCTACTTTAATTTATAAAAATCATACCACTTTGAAGTATTTGCTTAAGGTTTATATCAAAAATGTATTATTGCAACTTAAAATTATTATTGAAATTCATTTGTAATGCTAAATAATATAAATTTATGCATTCGCGTAAAGTGTAAATGGATAAGCCCTTTTAGAAGGCATGAAAGGAAGCACTTTTTTCAGCCCTTCTTGGGTAGGCATCTTAGAATGGCTTTACCTAAGAAGGCCTACCTAAATTATCTTCTGGGAATAAAATCGACGCTTTCTTTGCTTCAACTTTCTGTAGTACCATATCTATAAACGAAATATATAGCACGAACATACTACATACATATGTATGTATATTATTCCACATTTTCAACACTTACCTTCAATTTATGTATTTCTCTTCGTAATTTAACAATTTCTGCATCGCGTGCCTTTATCACATCCTTCAATGAAACAATTTCGCCCTGCATACTCTTTATTTGAGCATCGCGATCATCGGTTACGTTGCAACTCTTTGTCGTCATGTTGGGGCTGAAGCCACAAGTGGTGGCCATGGTGTGTGGCGAAAGTGACGTACTGTTGCCGTTAATCTTATAACCACTGCCACTGTTGTTTTTGTTTTTGTTGTCGTTTGTAATGGTGGTGGTGGTGCTGCTGCTGCAACTGCCACTGGTGCTTGCATATGCTAGTGCTGGCGCTCGCTCCATGCTGTACACATTGTACTGTGTATTACAATTATTGTGCTTACTGTAACTGTTCTCATCGATAGTATGGAATTTTGGTTTCTCTACAGGCACCAAGGCGAGTATAGGCGCCGGCAAAAGTGCCTTGGATTTGGGTGAAGTTGGTGAGTTTAGTTTGGGTGATGTGCTCGCTGGCGTATTGGTGGAGTTGTTGTTGGTGGTGGTGCTGTTAATGCCGCCGTTGGCACGCAATATCATCGAAGTTTTACGAATCTATGAATGGTTGAGAGCATTTCGATTGAGCGATGAATAGAGGAAATTAATGGAGAATATTAAATATCAATGAAATGCTCAGGTTTTTATTGGCAGAAGTGGCTGGACGCTTAATGAGTCATTAAAAGGAATGGTTTTAGTTAAATGGCTGTCTGCGATATTGGTTAATCGATAAAAAGAAGTTTGAGTTTTATTGTAGAGAAAAGAGAAAGCTATTTATAATATTTTAGCCCCTTAAAGACTAGAGGAAATCGGTTTTGTAAAGAAAATTATGTAACTAATTTTTAGGGATACTCTCTATTTTTTTTTAATTTTGGAGTATAAATTGATTTACCAAAATTTGGATTTTTTTTTTACATCAAAATATGGTTTATTACACCGTGCGACAGTAAATTTATAAATATAGTAAAACTTCGTTTTAGATTTTCCATCTGACGTCAGGATCTTTTTAAAAGAACTTTAAAATTAAAAAAATATGACGATTTCAAAAAGTGATTTAAAAAATTCAGTGCAATGCAGGATTTAAGGGCATCATATAAAAGAAAAAATTCATTCTTCTTCTTGGTGCATAAGGACGAATGGTTATGGAAAATGTTCTTTACAAATTTTGCCTTTAAATATCCATTAAAATTTGGAATTTTTTTTTTAAATTTATTTAAGGATTAATATTCGCATGACCTCATCATCGAATTTCGTCCAGCAAACTTTATTAACTTAAAAATATAAAATTTATTAAAAGCGCATTTTCAATACCTATTCGTCCTTGTAAACCAAAAAAACTTTATTGTTTTTAAATTCTAAAGAATTTTCTCTCTCATTTGGTACCCATGTATGTAGAATACATTGCACTGATTTTTTTTTAAATAATTTTTTTAATTAGCCATATCATTAAAATTTCAAAGTCCTTTGAAAAAAAATTCTGACGTCGGAGTGAAAAACTAAAAACGCCGGAGTGAATAGTTTCGTGAGTATATCGATCCTTTCATGTGTTTTGACATTTTTTTGCTTTTGTCACACGGTGTTATAGTTCAACGACAAAACTCCACGAATTAAAAAAAAAAAATTTGTTTTGTTTCAAAATTTTAGCAAACTTTTGCAATATAGGAGAAAATTATAATTTTTTGGTGACCAGATGACCTTAGTCAATTTTGTGAATCAGTAGGATTTTTATATGTACCTTTTTAATTAAAGATTTTGTAATGAAAAAATTTTGCAAGAAAAAAGGTTTATGGTTTTATTTAACACCTCAAAAACTAAAAGAAAACCGAATTCTAACAGAAATTTGTGAAAATTTGAATAAGATTTAAAATTTTAAATATTTCTTTACATCAAAGGAAAAATAAGCAACTTCTTTACCAAAATTTAAAAATTTATCAAAATTTGCCATTAATATTATACATGAAAAAATATTAATTGCCAAGCTACATTTCAACAATAATTAGTTAAAATACCAAAAATTAAAACAAAAAATCGACAAAAACTTTGTTTTATGTTATGGAAAAAAGTCATACATAAAAAGTATGACTTATTTTACATCAAAGTTTGCACGTTTAGTACTAAAGCTTAGTATCCAGCTCTTAAGAAAACGGTCAAGAAAAAATTGCCATTATTTCGCGTGTGTGTCCAAGGAATTTTGACATTTTTGATAACGCACAGCCTGTTGCCTCACTCTTTCCTCAAGAAATAATGGAACGGGCATATATTCCTGTTGCAAACCTGGGTTGCCTTGTACTCTTTTTTCACAAAAAACTTTAGAAAACCGTAGTAGAAAGCGTACTAAATTTCTGAAGAACTGCGTACTGCCTTAAGGAAATTTGACTCAAGAAAATTTCTTAGCCATTTCTTGTACGTCATTTTATATGGAGTTTTTGCTTTTCTTAAGAGCTGGATACTAAGCTTAAACATGAGAACAAAACTATAGTTTAGCGATTTAATAAGTCAAAACGAAAAAGTTAATTTATTTTACATGACAATTTGCTGTGAAAGTGAAACCAAAAATATGGTTTAGCAACTTAAAAAAATTTACAAAAATTTGCCACTAAAAAGTAATTGGCTTTATTTTATATTTTTTGAAAAAAAAAAATCAAAACCAGAAATTTAATTTATTTTATATGAAAATTTGCACAGTTGTGAATGTGAAAACACAAATATGGTTTGGCAATTAAAAAAATTACAAAAATATCTAAATAAAAACTGAAAATTCGAAAAAAAATTTAAAAAAATTGTTGCTAACAAAAGTAATCGCTTATATTTTATATTTTTTGAGAAAAAAGTCAAAATCAAAAATTTATTTTATTTTTCATGACACTTTGCATGCTTAGTCCACAACAGTGAAAGTGAAACCAAAAATATGGTTTGGAAATTTAAAAAATTTACAAAAATTTACAAATTTGCATATTTAGTCCACAGTAATGAAAGTAAAGTGAAAACAAAAATATGGTTTGGCAATTTAAAAACAAAATTTACAAATATTTGCCAAAAGTAATGGGCTTTGTTTTATGTAAAAAAAAAATCAAAATCAAAAAGTTTATTTATTTTATATCAAAATTTGCATATTTAGACCACAGTAGTGAAAATGAAAATATGGTTTGGCAATTTAAAAGAAATTAAGAAAATTTCTAAAAAATGTCCATAAAGTAAAAAAAACCAACTGAAAATTTACAAAACTTTGTCACTTTCGCAACTTTTACCATAATACGGCGCAAAAAAACTTTTTAAAAAAATTAAAAAAAAAAAAAAATATTTTTATGGCATCGAAATAATAGAGCATGACTTCCAATGCAAGCCGAAATTTTTTTCCACTATAGGGTATTGCTCATGAAGCCACTTTTTAAGGCTTAATTGACTTTTAAGAAAATTGCGTACTTTTTTCAATTCGACTCTGTCAAACTCAACTAATTCTAAACCGTAAACTCTGTACCTAATTTGCACCTGTACATACCTGCTCATGCACATTAGCATCCTGCAAAATCTTTGAAGTCTTCCTGATCAGCGGACTGGCTGTATTGATCGGTCCTAGAATGCCGCTCTCAGCAAAATATTTCTGTGCTGCATCGAAGCTTGCATCCTCAACGACTGCTTTAGATTTGGTAGGACTGCCCAACCTTTCAATTGGTGTGGTATTTTCCTTGCCGTATTGCAATTTCAAATCCTTTGCCTTCGCCTCCTGCGGCACGTCGCAATTCTGCTCCGTCTCCGATGTCGAGCCACCCGAATCGATTTCGTGCGAACGTTGCAAGAGCCGCCGTCTTTGCTGCGCAGAGCGTGGTGTGCTCTGTGGCGATTGCTGTGGACGCGCTACCGTTACAGGCGATTGTTTTGGCGAGATTTTCACTAATATATCAGGATGCACCGCAACATCCAACACTTGAAATTGTCCGATATTGGGTGAGGACGAACGTTTCGGTTGCTTGAATTCTAGTTTACCGTCTCGCGTTTTTATCACCGCTTCCTGCTGATGCTGCACATGTATCTGAATTAGCGATTCGCGCGAGGGTTTCTTATTCGCTTCGGTGAAGATGTAATCCGTATCCGGATGCGAGTAGGACTGAAAGAACCGTTTTGCTTTGCGTTCGTTTTTACGCGTTGCTGTGGGTGAGATCGCACTGCTTGCTGTTGGCGTAGCTACAATGCCAGCGTCTGTATTGGAAGTAAAGCCCGGCACTTGTAGCGTTTTGGTGGCGGTAGCGCGCGCTTGTGATGAACCGTTTTCGTTTTCCGTAACGCTTGCGAGCCGAAAGCTAACTGGACTGTGCTTGCGATGTAGCAGTGTTGCTGACTGTCCGCCACTAGCACTAACGCCACTGTCGAAACTATTGGAACGTACTCCCTCACCATCGCCGCAGCCGCCGCCGCCGCCACCACCACCGGCACTCCAGTCGAAACTGACATTCATGCTCTCATCGCGCGATAGCTGTGCCGATGTAGCTGACGACGTTTGCGTCGAGAGCGAGTAAATGCCGCTCGATGACGTATATTGCGTGCAAGCGCTGTGGCTGGAGAGATCCGCGTTGGTAGGCGAAATAGAGAAATTGAATGCGCAAGGCGCGGCAGCGTAGCTGGAGCGGCCCGAATGAAGTAGGTGTGACGTAGTATTGCCGCTGTTGCCCGTAGCAGGTGCTGGTAGGGGCACAGCTGGTGGACTGCTGCAATTACAATTGGCAAAGAGGCTGCCGCAAGTGTGGCTTTTGCGAAACTTCAAGCGCAGATTGGTGGCGCGCGGTACTGAGTTGGCAGCGCTGGATGTATCGGATGTGCTTGAGCAGTGGCTGCGTAGATTCGTAGATAGTAGTGGTGATGTGCGCCCATAGTGCGATGGCGTCTCCAACTCCAGCAGTGTGGGTTTGGACTCTTCTTCTTGGCTGCGTGAAATTCCAAAACGCACCGCGGGCTTTGATTTAGATTCTGCTAAGGTATCTGTGCTCATTTTGTGTGAATTTGTGGGGAAGTTTTCCTTTGATTTGAGGGGTAGTTCAATAAATTGCTGTTCTTCCACTTCGTTAGTGGCTGTATGCATGGTAAGGAGTGGGGGGTAGTCTAATGAGCGTGCAAGTTGGACTGACTGAAGTGTGGAATAAACCTGGAAAGGAAAAGCGAATACATAAATACTAGTTTGTAATTTGTAACTATTAAAAAAAAAGTATTGAGTGGTAACAGATCAGATAGGCTTCGAACCGGCTGACTCAGTGGGATCGTCGGTTCGAAGCCTACTGAAAGAAGTCTGATGAGGAAATGTTGATTTCCGAAATAGCTATCACTTCTACCATTTTTTCAAATTATTCTTGCTTTTCCACAATAATTTTTGTTTAAAAAACGGCCCCGAGCTCAATAAAAATTGCTGAATATAATACATTTCAAAAGGTCGCGATGAATCGAAAAGTTTCGAAAAAATTCCTAAAGGGTCTGGAAAAAAATGGAAGGTCTTGAAAAAATTACGAAAGGTCCAAAAAATTCTTAGTGAATTTCTCGAAAACTCATCAGTAAGGTTTCGAAAAAAAATCAAAATCCTTTCATTGGGAACATTCTCTCCACGCTATCGAAAGCCAGAAGATTTGGGAAAAAATCCTTTGATGCCCTTTTACTGGTTTCTCTTCCTCAGTTATTTAAAAAGTATCTGCACCTTTGCAGAGAAACGACCTCGTTTTTCGTTGCTACGATTTGAGTTGAAAATCATTCTCCATTTCTAGTAAGTAGGTATGTATTTATTTTAAACGCCTCAATTAGAAATAATTTAACGAGTAACTCAGTAGTTCGAGAATCTGTGTACAACTATAATAATTCCGCAGCTAGTTTAACACACATCGTTAACAAATGACTGGTTTTCGCACAGTAGTACAACAACAAAAGCGTACAATTTTATGTAAAATCAATGCTGCGCAACTTTATGTTCAATTACCCATTTATTGTTGACTACTAAATTGCCAACAAGCGATTAAAAAGGTTGAGGCTGTGAATTAAAAAATAAAAAAATAAATAAAAAACAAAAATTAAAATATAAAAAAATATATAAAAAGTAAAAAAAAAATTATAAAAATTGTAAATACAAATTTGAATTATCAGCCGGTAGATATAAAGGAAACAGTATATGCACAAACTTATATAAAACCATAAGAAGTTGTTGTAATGAATTCTGTTTGCTTCGAACAAGTTGAATCATAAATACATGCAGTGGCGAAAATATAAATAGGGAAGAGGCATTTTAGCATTCTTCGGCCTTTCTCCTTTCGATTATTTAGTGTTTATTATTTTTTTTTTGCATGTATGTAAATATGTAAAAGAGTTTTATACTCTTATACACGAATAGAAAGGCAAATATTTTCCATGGGATTTCTTGCTCGTTAATATATATATATATATATATGTACATTTGTATATATGGACCATATGTTAGTATTTCCCACATTTGCAAATCAAATAAAAATATCTATCATAAATTCACATATACACGTACAAATCTTCATAGATTTCTATCTGTATGTGCATACATATGTGTAGTCAAACACCCGTCGATCAAAATATCTGCATATACTTAAATCCATCACTCACACATCTACATATTTGATGTTTATTGACATAAGCCTTATTTAATTTTACAATTAGCATTCCAGCATATCTAGTATAAGTAGTAAGCTCTAGCTCGTCAAATTAAAAAAAAAATAAAAATAAATAATGCTCAATTGGCAAACAATTTAAATACAAGTCAAAAACTGCTGGAAGTGTTTATTGTTAGAAAGTAGCTGCAACGCGCAATAAATAAGTAAAGAACAATACGAAATAAAAGATATGTAGAACAAAAAAAAAAAACAAAAATAAAAAATGGAAACAAAAGTAAACAAGAAATAAAGAGACCAAAAAGCTGGAGAATGGCAAATATTGCATTAGCGCAGAGTGAGCATGAACTTTTTACCCCACTTTTTGGCAATCCCACCATTAATAAAATGATTTTCCGCAAGAGATATTAAATTTTCAAGGTCACTTATTCGCAATAATACAGCCAAAAAAAAAAAAAATAAATAAATAAATGTTTCAATAACATTTTGTGCGAACTGCAATATAATTTTGCCTTTGACAGCTGTTGAGATTCAGCAGGCGCAGGCATGTGCGTGTAGCGCTGGCCAATATTTGCTTAAAAATATAAGCCATGACAGGGCTACATGCGAACATAAGCAGAATCACCTCACAACTGAATGCGGGATTCTTAGCCTAGAGCTATGAACGATTTAGGGAGTTTAATGAAAATATATACATAGCTTTATTTGAAGTTCTGGGAATTGTGCTATAAATTAATTACGCAGAACTTATAGGCAGTGTGCAAGCCTCTATCACATATGTGGTTGATCTACCACATTATTTTTTAAAATTTGCGTTTATATAACATCTACCACAAGAGGCTTAAAATCTAAAACATCTTTAGACAGAACATTTGTTTACAATTTTCACATAACTCCAAAATTTCAACTCGATTCTAACACGACGGATGAGTGGAAGATCGACCTATCTCGGCAGCCAGTTCGAAAACGCCCTATCTTAGAAAACTTTTCAACATCGTTCTATCTTAGAAAACGTTTCAGGAACGCCCTATTTCAGAATTTGATTGAAAAACATCCTAGCTCAGTATTTGGTTGAAGAACGCCCTATCTCAGCTGCCTATTCAAAAACGCCCTATCTCAGCTTATTTTCAATGTATTTTTGTTTGAGTTAGGGCATTTTTGAACTGAATTCTCAGATAGGGCGTTCCTCAACAAAACTATGAGATAGAGTGTTTTTCAATAAAATTCTGAAATAGGTTGTTTTTCAATAAAATTCTGAAGTAGGGCGTTCTTGAAAAGCTTTCTGAGATAGGGTGTTTTCGAACCGGCTGCCGAGATAGGTCGATCTTCCACTCAGCCATCGAATATGAAATATACAAATTCATCAATAAATTTTAAAAAAGGCACATCATAAATTTTGCCTTAAATATATCTGTGCCTTAACTTTCTGATATTTCAAAAATCCGCGTATTTATATTTGCTAAAGTATTATGCAATGTTAAAACAGTTCGGTCGATTTTCTTGCATAAATAATCTGTAGGATTTTTCACAAATTAATGAAAATATTTTTGCTTTATTTAATTTAATTTAATTTAATCTTATTTTATTTTATTCATAAAAGAAGCAATTGAATAAAAAGTTTAAACAAATAAAATAAAACAAAGTAAAATAAAATACAACAAAGCAATGTATTTAAAACAAAAAATAAGTAAAAATGTAAAAAATATACATATAATTATGCATTTTTCCTATATTTGTATATACTAAATAGGCAACGGTATTCTCTAGCTAATTGAAAGTTACACTAAATTATACTAAAAATTGCGTACGCTAAAAAACTTCAGTTAATATGAAAAATTAAAAATAAAATGTTTAGAAATGCAAAAAATAAAACTTCGAATAACGGAATGCAAACAAAAATACTAATCATCGTGTGTTCATTGGAAATTTTCAGCCTGAAAGAGCATGAAATAGTTGCCTATGCACTCTGAAGAGGTGTGATACTCAAACATGGAAAAAGGTCACTCATACGCCCTGCCGGGTCCTTAAATGAGTGGATCTTCAAAAGAAGCAATCATGTGGCAGCCGTCATAACAGCAAGAAATGTCCAGCTAGCACAGCTCAA